GATGTCTAGGCTGAGTTTTAAAACTATGATCCTAGATCAAGGTGGCTGCCTACTAGAGTCAATCTACAAAGTACTACAAGAAGAGTAAGATTGAAGAATTCTCCATAGAAGAACTAGTATTGAAGAAAGTAACTCTTGCATCCAGAGATCCCAATAAGGAAATTTGGGGCCAAATTGGGAAGATCCCTATTAGGTTAGTCGAATGGTTGAAATGTCATTTACACACGCTTGGAATGCAGAACATCTAAAGAAGTATTATCTGTAGGAATCGATTTGTGTAAATCTCAATAAGGAAAATAGTCCACCTCTTTTTTAAAGGTTTTTTTTCCTCTTTTTCCATAGTTTGCGAGCTAGTGTAATCTTTCTTATATAGGAGGAAGCTCAATAAAATGTCATTTCCTTTAAAAAGTTTCACAATGTATATTAGTTTTTAACCTCGAGTAAGCTCATCTTTGAGAACCCAGGCCAAGCAACGCATCTTCATCGAAAGGTTAAAAAGATAAGGATATCCCAAATAAAAAATCACCTAGCTCATTCAAGGGTAGGAAAATGTAATGACCTAGGGTGTTAATTGGGTGTAAGGGTATGATTGGTGGAGAGGAAACAAGCTGGAACGTACATCCGAATGAAATAGGATTACTGCGTACAGATGACTTGGGGGTGTGAGGATGACACTCGCAAATTAAATCAGAAGCCAATTTGGGTCCTAAAAATTTAATTGATAAGTTTATAGTGATTTATTTAATATGTTTGTAATTTTAAAAAAATAGCCAAAAACTACTAGAATTACAAAAAATGACCCTAGAAGCTTCAAGCTTCTTCTAGGTGGCGGGTGAAGGTGACATAGCTGCATGCTCTCCACCAAGTATCGTGGGAGTTTATTTAGCATCTCTAGAAGAATAGGAAGCTAAAAAAAATCATGGGAAGAAAGAGAATGAGAAGAGAGAGAAGTTAGAGAGAGAAAGAGAGTGGTGAGAGGAGGTGTGGTGGATGTGTTTGGTTTTGATTTTGGAGGTTTTTATCTCCTCAATCGAGATGCTTGGGCTTCAAATGAGGGATTCTCCTAGTTAAAGAATCCATCCACAGCCTTAAAAATGAGTTTGGAAATCATTTTGGGGGCCAACTGGGCAGTTGTAGATCTGCTCATTTTTTAAAATCTTATTATTGGTCTACTTTGACTGAGTTTTGGGATCAGTATACTACATCAAGTAGGGTTTCTCAATTCTGGAATGGGTGAGATTTTTCAAAATTCTTTCAAACTTACTGAATGTGATATTTATAATTTCTAACATGTTTTTGAACTATTGATTGGGTATTTTGAATATTTATAGACTAATATTTAATATATTTACTTGTATTTGATATGAGACGACTCATCCAAGTCACTAGTGTAGAGATACTAAAACAGATGTGTGGGTTTTTGTTAAAAAACAAGCACACTAAACATGACCATTGAATAATGTAGAATTTTTCATATGAAGTTTTACATACCTGTCAATTTTAAATCCTAAAGTTTTAGTTATGCAACTGATCCATAAACTTGAAACACCATGGTTGTCTTGTGCATGAACTTCTATGCTTTAACTATACAACATATTCATATACTAACCATGTAAGTTGAATATGTATTGTTGGAAATAGTTAGACATACATAGAGACTTATGAGTGTGCAATATGAAATCTATCACCCTTAGTAAATAAAGGGAGAATGTCATATATGATCTTTTAAGATATGACTCAAAGAGTCTTTGGCCAACACAGAATGACAATTAGAAAAAAAAAACAAAGGTTTCTAATTAATCATTAAGAGTGATAGTCATAAGATTGAACACATCAAATCGACTTAGGGGGTTTAACAGTAATTGCATAGCTTAGTAATTCAATTGGGGCATTGAGTGATAGAAGAATTAAAATGCATGGCAACTATAGAGTGAATGAGTTATTTACCTATTTCGTATTATCCAAAGGTTGAATATGATATGTTGCTAGGTGTCACTCATGATTAATAGAAGCTCGAAGAACAAAATTAATACAAGTATAATAATTGTTTTTCATAAAGGGAGAATTAGAAGAGGTCTAATTCGAGCTAAATTAGAAAGAGTTATAATTTGAGATGCTACTTGTAGTTAGTATCGAATGCCTAAAACCAAGTATGCTTGAACCTATAGGGTCACACACAATAGAATTGATTGAAAATTAAAGGATAAAGGAAACCTAATTAAGAGTTAATTAGGGCTTTACTATAATTAATAATTAATAAAGGGGCTATATGTAATTATGAGATAATTACAACTAGATCCAAACTAGGATTAGAGTCTTCTAAGGCTCTATAACTATCTTCATATAGGAGGTGATATATTAGATAACAACTCTCTTGCTAGTAAAAGAAAATTTCACTTTCATTCTCTCTCCTTACTAGTTCATCAAAAGTTGAGGTAGTTCCTTCAAGTTTTGTCAATTCTGTGGATATCAATAGAGGCCAATCGATTGCGAGACTTGGGGTAAAGATCAAGTTCAGATTTGAAGATCTAAAGTTTTTGAGAAAGTTTGAAGATTATTAAAAGCAGGCTTCAAGAGTTAACCCTTAATCTTCATTATAGATCTAATTTCTCGATTTGTATTAAACATGAATAGATTTTGGAATAAAGAATCAATTTATATTTCTTTTTAAAATTCCGTTGCATTTATTATATGACTCCTTTCAAGTTGCTGGCTATGAAGGGGTAGAGCTTTAGTTGTGCATTTTACATAGTTTCTATAAATCGGATTATTTGATTTTCTTTTATGGAGGGGATTTATTGTTATTGGTGTCTCTGTTTTGTAAAAAGGGTTTGATTTTGTATTTGCTTCGAAAAAAAATTCAAGAGTTTGTTACGATTTGTTGTTGGTGTAGGTTTTTTAATTGATGAAGAAGTAAGAAGAGAATAATCTGTGGCTGAATGTAAAAAATATAATTTGTAAATGGCAAGATCTAGTGGTTACACATGAATAAAGTCGTTGGGTAGCAATATTTGTTTAGGAAACATTTTAAAATTCAAACGGTTAATAAATATAATAATTTAGGAAACCACTAATCTAATAAAACATAATAAAAAAATAAGGAAACTGCCAACATTTGCATGAATTAAGTTAAGGGGAAATACGCAATGCAAAAATATATAATTTTGAAAATGTGTACTTGGTCACCAAACATTTAATATAATGTGAACTTAATTAGAAAAAATATTAAGTTATGGACTTAAGGATAAATTTGAATAATTTTTTGTTATTACAGCCCAAAATATTATATCTTAATTTTGCAAAAGTTATGAATTTGGTGATCGCAAGCAACGACAAAGGAAACAACGTGAATTCACTTTGCTTTTAGACCTCCTCAATCTAGCTGAATATGTTTAGACATTGAAATAAATAGAGCAGCTCAATTTTGGTTCAGATTCACGTTCATCATGGCAGGTAGACTCAAGTTCAACGCATTAATATGTGGTGGTGATATCGTGGATAGAAGATGAAGCATGGGAACAATATTAAAGGTGGTTTGGTGCTGCAAAGGAGGGGAGAGGGAGCAAGGCCGGCCCAACAAAGAGTTCAAATTTACCATCGTAATTTTTTAATCGTCCCCGCCTTCCCCCTCCCCTCCCCTCTCCCTCTTTGACCATCAAGTTCAAATATAGTAACAAAAATTTGAATATAAAACTTTAATTAATATTTTTATATTTAAAATTTTAAAAATTAAATTTATTATTAATATCAAAAATAAAAAAATCTCATTTATTATTTTCACTTTAAGGAACAAAATGTCATGGGCCGCCCTAGAGACGGAGAGCATGAGGTGAAGGGAGTTAATTTGATTAGATTAAATATGAAATTGGACTTGACTAATGTTCAATAAATAAATCTTTTTTATTTAAATTATTAATTTCACTAGTCCATTAATGTTGTCCAAAAATTCAATGTCGAGGAATAATGGTGTCATTATAATGATGCACAAAGTTGATTATGCACAATCAAATCAGTCGAGTGTATGGTGTAATGAAATTAATGAAATAATTAATAATAAGATATAAAGATTAGATAGTTGGGTCTAGGTGATCTAACCATTAAAGGCGACAACAGTAGCCAAAGAACTCTATTAATGAGATAATACAAGGTAGTAGGAGAGGGAGAGAGAGAGAGAGAGCAAGGGTACGCTCAAGGTGTAGTATATGTCCCCTGTGTAAAGGGTTTAAGATTTATAGCACAGAACCCTAGCTAAGGTGATGATATGAAGGTCAAGCTACTAATTTGTCGGTAAGGATAACTACAATTGGGGGTGGATACTATCTTTGAATAATGGTTATCCTAATGGTTGCTCTCTAATGTGCATTGACTCTCCCTAGACTCTTGAGTTTTGGACTAGACTGAAAGCCATGAACTAAGCCTAGCCTGTCTTTTAATGTTTTGGGCTCAACCCATGAACTAGGTGCAGGCCTAGTTGGATCTGGGCTCATCATTTGCCTCTCATGCCTCAAGCCCTAGTAGTGATACGGGGGTTGAGGGCATGAGCGTGCTCCTTCATTTGGGTAGACCAAGGTATTCTGTTCCACACAATGGCTTCTTCAATTTTCCTCTCCATTGCAGTTTCAAAGCCTATTTTCTCATTTGGTAGTACCATTGTTGGACACCCATTGTGATAGCAAACAACCTTTTCTGCTAGATCTTCCATTGGATTTGAAAAAAATTCATCTCTTTACAGTAGAAACACCTTTTTTCTTTTAGGGTATTAAATTTAGGGTTTTACAGGGTTATATATAGACCAAAGAATGAGCCACCCACATTTCACTTTCTTCTTTGAAAACCCCTCCTTCTTGATTAGAGATAGGAAGTGACATTCGTTCTCTTTGTTACATAAGTAGCAGAGAGAGGTTGACAAAGAGAAGAAACATGGATCTCAAAGGGAAGAAGATGTGGTAGGGGACCATGGGCGAAGCCATAGGCAAGGCCATGGGCGCGTCGGCAAAGCCATGGACAAAACTACACAAATCCATGTTGATGACAATGGTAGGCAGGGTGGCACCGGAGGGCTGCGCGATGTCGAAGCCAAGTTGAGCAGCGCTGATGACGCTAGAGGCAGGCAGGGAGGTGCCAGGGATGACACCAGAGGGCTGGACGATGAGGATGGAGCCTTGGAGGGCCTAAACTTTGCCAGGGAGAGAGAAAGAGAGAGAGAGTGACGCCTTTTGCTCAGGTAAGGCGATTTTGTTCGTCCTTTTATTCATCCCTCATTTTGTTATCCTTTTTTTATATTGGCTCTGATTTTGACAGGCACCAATCTGCTAAGGTATGATGATGAGTCTTGCACAAGCTTCATAGCTAGGCAAGGGAGTGTAAATAGTGACGGCTTAAAGGTGATCTCCATTTTCAACCCCATAGATAGTGACAATAATATTGATGGCATCATATCTTTGTTCCATATCCCTTCTGCTATTTTGTGTCGTCTAGCTGAGAAGTACGAGCCAACATGTTTTGATTCCTCTAGAGAGATTGTTTTCTATGAGGATGTCTGAGAGGCAAGATTAAGGTGTCCCATACCTAGACCCATTTGCCAGGTTTTAGGTCATTGTTACTTGCACTAGGGTGGTTGACTCCAAATGGCTAGAGGGTGTTTTTGGTGTTTTTTTCATTGTGACGACTAATGCATGGTGAGGGTTTCTCTCCCCCTTTTAAGGAGTTCTAAGCGTCGTATGTGCTTTTGGAGAACCCTATTCCTCATTAGGGATGGTACTGCTTTGCTCCGAGGTCAAGGAAGTTGAATACTGGACTGTCTTCCAACTATTATAGTTGGAAGTCTAGGTTCTTCTTTGTAGGAGGAGGGTGGGCTGTCGAAGAGGACCGTAATTTGGTTCCCTTGAGATGGGAGACTCCTCCAAGGACCAAGATAGGTATGATTTTTACCTCTACTTTTATGTCCAACTATCATATCTCTCTTGTATTTATTGCATGTGTGGTTTCTTTGCAGCTTCACCCGTATTATCGATGGAGCAGAAGAACAGACTTTAGGTTGTAAGAGATCAACCTGTCAAGCATTTTACTGCCCTTATGTCTGGGTTGAGTTACTCTAGAGTCTCTCTTGAACAGAAGAGGAAAGGTATTTGCATCTTTGTGTAAATTTGACAACGTCTTAAATTTCTGTAAATTCTTTCTCTTGTTCAAATTTCATAGGTGCTCCAATTGTTGATAGAGTGATGATGGAGGCTCTCTATGCCACTAGGGTGACATCTTCCCCTATTCCCAAGAGGGCAAGATTCGATGCCCCCAGTGCTTCTTAGCCGAGGTCTAATGCCCATATTATTTATCAGAAGATGGGGCCTAGTGGTGCCCCCACTTCTTCTCCGCACGTGGCCCCTTTGAATAATAGGGTTAGCCCTTGGAATACTTTAGGGGCTAAGACTCATGTGCAAGCTTCTACCTTTTTTGGTCATACTGATATTTTTTTCTTTTGGATTTTTGCAAATGGCTGCGATTTTTCCATTCCTTTTTTCGAGGAAAGTCAAGCTTGGTGAGGTATCGATGGTTTTGGCAGAAGAGGGACAAGTGTGCCAAGCTGAGGAGTAGCAGTTGAGGTTGGCTCATAAGAGAGTAGCACCACTTGAGCTGAGCTTTCAGCGTCCGAAAAGAGAGCCACCAAGCTAGAGGTTAACAAAGAGATTGTTTGTGCTAGAGTAAAGAGAAAACTGCGAGTAGCCCGCGTGAGGGTCACTGGAGCTGAGACGGAGCTATAGACAGCTTAGGAGAGGGTTGTTAGGGCTAAGATAGAGTTACGAGTAACTCATAAAAGGGCCACTAAAGCAGAGGCTTATTCCATTGAAATGGAGATGAAAAAGGAGGCTACAGATAGGGATGTTCATGAGCTGTAGTGCAACGTTACAGGCATTTTTATCGATGATTATGAGGAGTTCAAGGGGAAGGCCTAAGTGGCTTTTCCTTACATTTACTTCTCTGGTTTTGTCCCATATGAGACACTAGGGACAGGTGGTGATGGATAGAGTTTTGATGAAAATGGATCAGGAAGCATTGAGCAGTCATCAAGTGTATGGCGGTTTTATCTTTTCTTTTCTGTCTTTTTGTGGCAAATCATGCTTTGAATTTTGTAGGTTATTTGCAAACTTCTATGGAATGAAAAAAGGAAAATCTAGACAAAATAACTTTTGTAAAATTTTATTTCATAACTAAAGTAATCGATAACAGAGTAAGTAAGCTAGCTAAACTAACTAATGCCATGACTAGGCAATGAGACTCACTAGTTTTTTCTTGTTATTGATAGTACCCCTTCAGGATTTTAGCATTCCATGGATGGGCCAAGACTTTACTTTTAGAGTTTTGAATTCTGTACATGCCAAGTCTTACAACTTCCATCTTGATGTAGGGTCCTTCCCAATTATGGCCTAGCTTCCCTTGTCGTAAGTCCTTGGTAGATAGGATTCTCAACTTGCATGACCACCTCTTTCCCATAGGCTACGGAGAAAGGAGTTTAATCAGTGGGGCAACTAGGCATTCTCCTATAGGCCCATAGCACACCAAGGAGCTCATTCGCCCACCGCCCTTTGGCACTTTCCAATCTAGTCTTCAAGTTGTACAAAATTGTTCTGATAGTGACCTCTGTTTACCCATTAGCTTGGGGATGTGCTAGGCTAGAGTGGGGTTATCTAATCTGTAAGTCCGCATAGAATCCATTGAGGAGTTTTTTTTATCTAATTAATTAGCATTGTCGCTCATTATAGGATGAGGCACTCCAAAACTACACACCATGTTCGTCCAGATGAAATCCTGCACTTTTTGATTTGTTATTCTAGCTAAGGACTCAATTTCTGCCCACTTTGTGAAGTAGTCAATGTCTATTATCACAAATTTGCATTTTCCACGACTCATGGGTAGGGAGTCTAGGATGTCAATCCACCATTTAGAGAAAGGCCAAGGTCCTAAGATGGTGGTTAATTCTTCTGGCAGTTGTCTTGGCACAGTAGCAAAACATTGGTATTTGTCACACTTTTTTACAAATTCTCGAGCTTCTCTAATCATGTTAGACTAGTTGTAACCTTGCTTCACTGCCTTGTGAACTAGTCTATGCCCTCTAGAGTGGTTTCCACATATTCCCTTGTGGATCTCTCTCATAGCATAATCAGATTCCTTAGGAGAGAGGCAACGGAGTAGTGACAGTGAGTAGCTCGTCTTGTAAAGGGTGTCACAAAAGATGACATACCTCAATGCCGTTAGTCTAAATTTCATAGCTTCCACTAGGTTTTTTGGGAGAGTGTCTTCTTCTAGATATGCCCAAATGGGTGTCATCCAGTTGGCATCAGTGGATGCACAATTGACGTTATCCTCATCTATTTTAAGCCTACTTGGTTCAAATTGGTGAACCGTGAATGCGAGGCCTATTGGGATATTTGTGGACGTGAACTTGGCAAGCGTATCTGCCATGGCGTTATCCTTTCTGGGCACATGTTGAATTTGGAAGTGGGGGAACTTTTTTAGTAAAGTTTGTACCACTAAGAGATATTATTACATCCTTTCTTCATTTATCTTGAAGTCTCCTTTTACTTAGTTGACTATTAGTTGGGAGTCATTATAGACCATGAGGTAGAGAGCCACCATTTCAATTGCGAGCTTCAGGCCTGAGATGAGGGCCTCATATTCTACCTGATTGTTGGATGTCACAAAATGAAGTGATACAACGTATTTAAGTGAAGTGCCCTGAGGACTGATGAGTACCATCCCTACTTCCCTACCTTCACTAGTGGAAGACCCATCTAATTATAGCCTTCCAACATGCCACTACATCGATGTGTGCATAGGCCTCGATAGTTGGAGACGCCCACCCAAGCACGAGAATGCAATATGGTAGGAGGGCACCAAGCTGAGTTACAGTCAAGAAAGGGGTTGGGGCATCAAATATTGACAACCCTAAAGAACTTAGCGTAAGCGAACTGGGCACCTCGAGCCAGGGAACCTCGGCACCAAAGGTCTGGGGCACTGGTTTTTTTAGGGCACCAGGCACCCTGAGGGTGGCGCCTTACCTTGATGCACGAGGTTTCTGTGCACTGTTCATAAAGTAGGTGAGTGCAAGGGCACTGAGCACTTATTTTTGGGAGCCTCCTTCCTCTGTTAGTGTGAATTTTGCCACAAAATCTACTAATGCTTGCGCCTTGATGGCCGCTCTCGGTTGGTACTGTACGTGGAACTCGCTCAATTCAACGACTTATTTGGGTAGCCTTCCAGACACACCTACTTTTCCCAAGATTCCTTTGTGTAGTTGATCTGTGAAAACCATGGTGGCGTGACTCTGAAAATAGTGTCATAGGCGCTTGACTGCAGTGACTAGTGTTAGCGATAACTTTTCCAACTTAGAGTACCTTACCCCTACTCCTTGATAAGCCCTATTTGCATAGTAAATGGGCCTTTGAATTCCTCCTTCCTCCCTGACAAAAGTGGAACTCACAGCAAAGGGCGAGGCGAACGAGGGGGAAAACCAATGCACAGACCACGAAAGCTATTATAACGATTCTACGGAAGGGTAAACACTTATCTACTGACTTTGAAATGAATCTACTAAGGGCTGCTATCTTCATTTAAGGCATTGTACCTCCTTCATAGAGGTTGAGAAACTCATGTCCAAGATAGCTTTAATCTTGTCTGGATTAGCCTCAATACCCCTCTTGTTGACCATGAAAATTAGGAATTTTCCTAAGCTTGCGCCGAAGGCGCATTTCTTAGGATTTAATTTCATCCGGTAAGCTTTCAAGATGTTGAAAGTCTCTTGTAAGTGTGGTACACGGTCCACTATAACCAAGATTTTTACTAGCATGTCGTCCACACAGACCTTCATGGTCTTCTCGGTCTGTGCCTCGAATATTTTTTTCACGAGGCGTTGGTATATGATTCTAGCATTCTTGAGTCTGAAGGACTATGAAGTTCAACATAATGATAAAGCTTCTTGGTCTTGTTCTTGTTATTACTGGCAGGGTGATGGAGCCCAAGGGGTATGCCTTTTCCCCTAAAAATCCGATGAGGGGTGTCTTCATGGATTGTAATCTCTCCCTGCCAAGATAGAGGCTATCATAGGTTGGTATGAATAGGATATCGCCAAAGTTACCATTGTCTACCAGGATCTTCTTAACTTGGTAGTTGGCAACCATCATGGTTAGCACCACAGGATCATTATGGGGGTGT